ATCCTGAAATGGGATGTGCCTGCCATCAGTGGAATGCCTGGTGCATTCCCAGGTTAGACCAGGTGGTCACCGAGGCACTGGTCAGGCCAGCCATCTACTCCTGCTGAGGGTTTGCCACCTGTGTTCCTTTTCTGGTTCACCTTAGTCATTCATTCTTGGATGATAATGATGCCGAAAGTTATTTAAATTGCTTAAATAAGCAATATATTTTGAAATTTTGAATAGTTATTAAACATTTATATTTTGACTTTTGATATGCTTTGTTTATTAGCTTGCCTTTACCTGTATTCTAGACCAGACTCATTTCATTCAAGAAACCCTACCCTAAGCAGGAGCATTTTGGAACTGCTAGTCTGAATGTCTGTAGGCGTTAAAGAAATCGCTGTTGCTTCACCTCTCAGCTACCAAGGCATTCCCTGTACGTGCCCATGTCCTTCCCTGTCTCGGCCTCTTAATTATGGAACTCTGTTGTGTCATGGGAGACAGAGACTCCAATAGCCATATGATAAACAAAAGCTTACAGAGAGCACTGTGTTCTTGGCCTGCTGAGGGGAGGAAGCTGCACAGGAGATAAGGGAGGCCCAGACAAGGCTTTGGTAGAAAGAAAGTTCCTAATTCTCATGTAATTTTAGTGTGCCCCTTCGTGTCTCCATCCACAGATACACAGAGCCCCTGCTCATGCTTCTAACACGCTCCGGTTAAATGACTCAGGACACATCACTTGATGTTCTTGGCTGCCTAATCTAGAGAATCTACACATACACATTGCTGGTGCTCAGGATTTTGTTCTCAGTTAACAAATACCAGAAGCCATACTTGCTATTGTCTTCCTCTTTTTTTAATTGTAATAAGCCTCTAATATTTATTCATTGCTCTTCAAACAACTGCTAAGCAATATTGGAGAAGAATGGTCTACCAAAATGGCAAATAAAGAATAAGAACAACTTATTTTGAAGAAAAGTTTGGTTTCATCACCACACTAGAAGCTTCTCAACCCCCACCCTCCAGGAGTAGGCTTGAATTAGCAATCCAGAATAAAATGGCCACAAAAAAAGCCAGCTCTGTCTTGTGCTGTCATAACAGCACTTAGGGGGTTAACTAAATTGACTTTTTAGAGAATACGTAAAAAGACACATATGCTCATTTAGACACACAATGAAAAAGACTGTTTAGCATTTAGCTGAATGGGGCCTGCGTGGATTTCACAATGTATTATGGCCTTGTTTCCTGACTTTTTAACTTGGCATGCAGTTCAACTGCAGGCTTGTTTTGTTTCTCATATTTAAATAACTGAATTGTAATCATATTACTTAACCAAGCTTTAAAAAATGATATTACTACTTACCCTTCGGGAAAAAATATGTCTCAAAACTCTATTTGAATCCTCTGTCCACTTTCCCTCTCCCTGTACCCTACACTAAGGTTTCCTTCTTAAATTACTCCTAAGTTTTAGTAAAATTGCCAGACTTCTGTTGTTTTTTAACACATATGTTTTGGTTTGGGACTATTTCACACTAATGCAAACCCCCTGTGCCTCTGCAGGAAACACGTCTGTGGATTGCTAATTGTTTTAGATTAACCCCAGAGATGTTTGGCAGGCTTGGTTATGGCATTTTCGGCCCACAAATTTAGTGTTTATTTCTTGGGCTTTGATCATACACCTTCCGCCCAGACAGACAGGTCAGTTGCCCTGTGGAGAGCATGAGGAAGCATCCTATATCCTCTGCCTCTCAGGAGAATGGACCACTCTGGGTCAGCTGCCCTGTGGAGAGAATGGGGGAGCATCCTCCATCCTCTGCCTCTGGGTCAGCTGCCCTGTGGGGAGCATGAGGGAGCATCCTGCATCCTGCATTCTCTGCCTCTCAGGAGGATGGGCCACTCTGGGTCAGCTGCCCTATCGGGAGCATGAGGGAGCATCCTGCATCCTCCAACTCTCAGGAGGATGGGCCACTCTGGGTCAGCTGCCCTGTAGAGAGAATGGGGGAGCATCCTGAATCCCGCGTCCTCTGACTCTCAGAAGGATGGGCCACTCTGGGTCAGTTGCCCTGTGGAGAGCAGCATCCTGCATCCTCTGACTCCCAGGAGGATGGACCACTCTGCCTTCTCCCAGCTTGTTTTCTTCAGCTCTCGCTGCCTTAACTCAGCAGTGGCTGGGTGGCTCAAGCAGTAGAACGTAATGTTCTGCCAGTTAGTCCTAGATGCCAGAAGGCTGGAACCCCAGACCCAGGAAATCAGATGAGTACTGGTCTCAGCTTGTAGACAGCCAGCTTGTCACATGACCTTTCCTCTGTGGCCACTTTCGGAGAGAACTTGCTGCTATCTCTTTCCCTCTTTATGAGAACACTGATTCCGTCTGCTCAGACATCACACTGATGACCTCATATACCTGTAATGAAATTTGGCCGGGGGAGAAGGTTACAATTTAATCTCTGTGACATTTAAAGGGCTACATTGGCCTCTAGCATCCTGGGTTCCTGCCCCCACCACCACTAGACACACCCCTAACCCATGAGCTCTGAAACACTAATCTCTGTGGCTTCTCTCTGTGGGCTTCAGTGTCCTTTGATTTCTGATGAGTTTTAGCCCAGACTCTAGACTGGCAGGAAGTGGATTGAGAATGGGAGGAGGTCCTCAGGGGCAGCCTCTGTTTAGGAGACCCTCCCAAATCCTAGCACCTTCCATACTCTGTCCCAGTGACTCCTCTCTCCTCACGCCCAGACCTCAGACGGCTAGGGAATGTGTGCTGTCCTTCCGGCTTTCTGTGCTGGTTTTCTGATTATTTGTGACACAGAGACTTTCCATGTAGTTGTGGATGGTCTAAAATGCACTATGTAGCCCAGGCTGGCTTTGAACTCACAGAGATCTGCCTGCCTCTGCCTCCCTGGGGTTGGAACTAGAAATGTATGCTACCCAACATGGCCATTTATTTGTCTATGCTTGTTTATAAAGGAATTTCTATCAATTACCTGTTTGATACAAAGATCAAATACCTCTGGAAGGGGCATTTTTAGGACAGCAGCAATTCATAGTCCTTTCATGCCTGTAAATTCCTAAAGGACAACTTAAGTGGTGTTGTGGTGCCTCTATAGCAATGGTTCTCAACCTGTGGGTCACAACCCCTTGTGGTGTTCAATGACCCTTTCACCGGGGTCACCTAAGATCATTGGAAAATACAGTATTTACCTTGCAATTCATAACAGTAGTAAAATTACAGTTACGAAGTCGCAACAAAACTAATTTTATGATTGGAGGTCACCACAACATGAGGCGCTGTATTAAAGCGTCCCAGCATTTGGAAGGTTGAGAACCATTGTTCTATAGCGATGTCATTTGTGGATCTCACAATAATAGAGTGTCTAGTGTTCATATGTCTGAGGGTGCCACATTAGGGCTGAGGTTGCCTGAAGGATTTGGGCTCTAAAACCTGCATCCTCCCTGTTCGTGCTGCTAGGGATGAGACCTGCATCCTTTGCTTGTCAGTCCTGGATTTGCCCTGGATCTGGAAAGAACAGGAGCTAGACTGCTTTCAGATCTCAGTCCCAGGCTTCAGCGAAGACACAAGAGGCTTTCCTAAGATCAGAGAAATTATCTCAGTCCAGTCCCATTTGCTCAGGGGGCAACTGTAAAAGAATGGCTCAGATTCTGGCTCCTGTCCTGTATCAGACCATTACTGAGCACCTCTGAGATGCGCCCTCTTGATCTGTAAATTGGCAGTGATGTATGAAGCTCCCATTGTGCACTGTGCCACCTGTAGGGCTTGCTAACTAACACTTTTCTAACATGTTGGCTTCTGTTGTCTTGAGAATACAGGAGATCATCTGTGGATACAACACTTGTTGATCATAATGCCAAAATTATCCCTTACAGTTGACACAAAGGCCTGGGGATGCGTCTCAGTGATAGCATGCCTCCCACACATAAAACTTTAGATTGCATCCCTGGCATTGGAAGAAAAAAGTACTTCTGTCAGCCAGATACATTCATATCCACAGTCATAGTACTTGGGAGATGAGGCAGAAAGTTTGTGATTTTGTGACCAATATCAGGGTGCATAATGAGACCCTGTCTCAAAACAGGAAAACAAACAAAGCAAAGAACAAAAAAGAATTTGAGGAGTGAGAAGGATGCCTGAGCAATTGCGAATACGTCCCTACTCCTCCAGCGGTCCTGAGTTCAGATCCCAAACTTCATGTGGGGCAGCTAACAGCTACTTCCAGCTTCATCTCTAGGAGGTCCGACACCCTCCTTTGCCCTCTGTGGACACCCCTACACATGGGATACACACACACAATGACATGCACACATACATAAAAATAATTCGAGTTGCATCCTCCCTCTTAATAAAGGAATTGTTGTGATTGTATGTTGTTAAAACTAATACATGTTCATGAAAACTTGGTTTAAAGAAGAAAATAAACTCCTAATCCTACCGAACAGAATGGATTCTGTTACACCGCACTTGTGTGATAACCTCATGCATCTGACTTCCCAACATGCATACTTTTATTTTCTCAGCTAAGACGTTTTTTATCTGTGTGCACTGTATTTATAACAAAAGTACTTTTCTGAACATTTTCTTCTTAAGTATTTAAATTATTTTAATAAAATTATATACCTAGGTACACAGTCCTGAATTTAGGTAAATAAATGTGATTGCATTGTTTTGCTTTTTCATGGCTCTGTGGTTCTCATCCTACCATCTGTTACGGTATTGGTTAAATCAGGTAGGTCTTCTACTTTCCCGTGCCTTCTGTTGACCTGGCCAGGTAAGTTGTGGTATGACCATGCTTTTGGCCTGTGGCTATTTTATTTAATTAAGGCAACTCTCCTTACCTTTCCTCCTCAAGGCATCTTGAATCCAACATTTAATTAAAACAGCACCACTTTAATTCAACAGATACTTTGTTTTAATGGTTCTATTGAGCTGATTAATGGTTTTCTTCATCTGCAACCTGGGGTCCTGCCTTCCCGTGTCTCTGACTTTCTCCATCTGTTAACAGGGGCGGAGAGGCCTTGGCTCTGTGTTTGTCTGGGCATCTGGCAATGGTGGAAGGAGCAAAGACCACTGCTCTTGTGATGGCTATACCAACAGCATCTACACCATCTCCATCAGCAGTACAGCTGAAAGTGGAAAGAAACCGTGGTACTTGGAAGAGTGTTCCTCTACACTGGCCACAACCTACAGCAGTGGAGAATCCTATGATAAGAAAATAGTATGTAACTTTTACGTGTCTATTACCATCCATTTCTTCAGTGTTCATGTTGAAAGTTAAGAGAGATCCATAAATGTGTAGAAGGAGCTTATAGAAACAGCAGATCTGATTAGCTGATGGTACCAAGTAAATCACTGTGAACGTTAACAGTCTATTACTGATTCCTTAAAAATGCTTGTCGGGATCATGATATTTGAACATTAATATAATGTTGATCACAACTAAGTTTCAGTTTTATTGAGGACAAATGATTGGTCTACATTTACGTTGATAAGAACGAAAAAACAAGAATCAACATGTGATTCTCAGCTTAGTGTCGCTATCATTAACTTCTGATTCTGGTGTCTCATGTAGCTAATTCATTATGAACAAAAAAGTATATACGAGAACTAAAATTCACACTTAAGATGTACATTTGCTTGTCTGTTTCCATGGGCTCTACATCTACAAGCTAACCGACCACACTACATTGAAATTACCTTGAAGATATTCTCTTAGTAGTCTTTATTCACTAAACAATGTAGCATTACGTCTGTATGCATGGCCCTTGTGTTATTTTGTATATTAAAGCAATCTACAGATTGGGTAGTACTTAAGGAAGAATGTGCAAACATAAATGTGCAAATATATGTCATTGTATTTTATATGCAGGACTTAAACATGCAAGTCCTGTCTTAGGATTCCTGAAACCAATCCTTTGCAGATATCAAGGGGCTGTATTTATCCAATGTGTACTAACCCTGTACCAGCTGTGCTTCTGGGTCTACTGTAGTCTACTGAATGGGGAATTATGGAAGTGCAGTGGCGTCCCCTCTTCACCATCCTGCCCTGCTAGCTTGTAAAACAGCTATTCAGGATTCAGGTTACTAGATTGGCCTACCTAACTTGAGCCATTTTCTAGGTCTAAGTCCTTCCTTATAATGTGCAGGTTTAGGAGTTTTTAGTTCACGGAGCCATTACTGAAATAATTGGGGGATACACAAGTCAATAAAAAATGCAACCCAATGCTAACCCTTCTCAAAGTCTGTAGAAACTGACTCTTAGAATACCTGACACAGCACTACGAATTCTAAATGTCAAATGCTGGTCCTCTTCTCCTGACCATGGTTTTCCAGAGTGTCTCAGGATTCCTCTTTCAAAGAGGACTCATGTCCTGCTGAGCTGTTTTACCTGATGTTTGAGGAGCCACACAGGGCCAGATCAACACTGTGGAGGAGCATCTCATTTTTCTGTAGCAGTAGGGAAGCCACTGCAATGGTTCAGCAATTAAGAAAACTGGTTTTTCTTCCAGAGGACCTGGGTTTGGGTCCCAGCATCCACATAGCAGCTCACAATCATGTTACTCAAATTCCAGGATATCTAGTGCCCTCTTCGGGCCTCTGTGGGCACTGCATACTTATGGTACACAGACATATATTCAGGCAAAAGACCCATACACATAAAGTTGAATGTATACAAGTCCATCTCTCAGTACTTCCTGAATCAGTTATCAGTGAACTAACTCTGAACACAAAGTAAAATACATAAGGAAAAAGCACAAGACTAGACATTTCTGGATTAATTAAAACCTGATGCTGCTCCCCAAGATTTTGATTTCAGTATAGAGCTGTAAACATCTAGAGAACTCTTTTGCTTTTCAGTAGAAAACCGTACCCCCTAACTTGTCACCCTCAACTACCAGGGTCTCGTGACACCCATCTCTGTATCAAGAAGTAACTGAGAATCTCCAGGATAATATTCCCACCATTTACAGCTCTAGAGTCTGAGGATCGGCAGCAAGCTCATACTTCCTCCCAGGCATCTTATGACCTCTCCAGTCCTCTTGTTCCCTGTGGCACCATTGCTGTGAGGATGGTGCTGATCAGCTCCAGAAATGCCTTTTCTAAAAGAAGCTTATAGTCTAATGAACAAAATATCAAAACAGGAGGAGGTGTGCTCACATCCCTGACGGAACGTGTCACTTGGTCTGAGCAACCTTAGCATCATGTCTATGAGGTCCACTCACTAGACCTTTCTCCTGGGCACCATTGTGTTTGTAACTGGGCAGCAGTTGTTGTGGCCCCATAAACACAGCCATCAAGCATGTGTGAGCGCCAGATGTTTACAGTTCTATAATGAAGTCAAAATCTTGGTGAGAGGAGAAAGTTTGGGGTGGGACCTGAACACCATGGCTGGATGTCAGTGTCCTTCTGTGAGGTCTTACACTTCAGTTTCCCGTCACAAACTGAATGCATATTTAACTCTTCCTTCTATCTGCTTTGTGATTATTCTCTTTCTCAAAGGAAATTTCCATTTATTAAGAATTAGAAATTTATTGTTTTGCTTATGGGATGATGTCTTCAGACTAGAGATAAACTCGGGAATCTCCTAATGGAGCTAACAGGTGTCTTGCCACACTGGCACACACTGTCCAATGGTTAGGGAACATAGCAATGTGTGTAAAATCATGGGCTTAATTCTAGATCACAGTATTTCTGCAATGAAGAAATAATCTTTAAGGGCATTAGTTTCTCATTACAAAGGCCAAAAACTTGTTCATTTATGCATTTTCTTCTCTTTACCTAGTTCTTCAATTCTTTTCTTAATGTTTGCACCCTCAAATTACCCACAAGGAAGAAGAAATTTGGAAACTGATTGAATCCAGTGTCTGACTTCAGACTGGCCACATAGTGCTGAGCCACCCACTCCTCAACTGTAAAATTGAGGTGACCCCCACATGGTCCCAGAGATTCCCGTGAGACAGTGACAGTCTGAGTCTGAGTACCTGGTCTGCATGTGGCTCTATTAGAGACTGGCATCACTGTCCTTAGACTGTGCAGCCTTCTGCACCCTGGAAGGTCTGTGGGTTGCATCTCGATTCACAGTGGTTCCCATTGCACCTCCATTTTCCTAATCCGTAAAACCCTGTGGTCTGTTCCACCAACCCCATAAAGAAAGCCACTGTGATCAGGAACATGTTAACAGCCTGAACATGAGTGGAGCTGGCAGCGACATCAAGTTTTTATGGTCCAGCTGACCCCCTTTCCTTCCAGATGTCAGGATGATGAATAAGCCCACAGCGCGCCCAGGACCTTGCCACCGCCAGGCTTTAAACCTAGACGCCTGTGGTCTCTGGGTGATGCCTGCCTCCTGTTAGTGGTATCCATGATGGAGTGCTACAGCAGTGGCAGTGTCCTCTCTGCACTGGGCCCCTCCCCGGAGCCATCCATTTCCTCCTGTCACTCGCCTCCTCTCCCGAAAAGCACAGCTGTCGTTCTTCATTCCAGAGAGCACCTTAGTGATTTCAACCGAGGCGACTGCTGAGGAGCTGAGGGACAGGAAAGATCTCTCCTTCCGGGAAAGCACTTTGTTAAGTAAACTTTACGTACCTGGGACAAAAGGTCTTTTCATGATTTGCAAGCAGGAAAGCTTGCCCTGGGTTTCAAAATAGAGTGAGGCCCGCACACTTGCGTGCCCTGCCAATGCTCGCAACTCAACAGTGGGCACCGGTGTTATAGTCACACTCGCATAGACCTGGAGCCTTGGTAGCCTGGCAGATTATGCCAGCAAATGAAGCATCCAGAATGTCAAGAGTCTAATAAGGGGCTCTTTTCTAAACAGAATGGTCAGGGATGACTATTGTTTGTTTGCAACAAAAATCTCACTTAGCCCAAGCTAATCCCATGGTGCTTCTGCCTTGGCCTTCCATGTGCTAAGATGACTTCTAGGACCTGCCACATCCCCTAAACAGATATTTTTAAGATTTATTATTATTATTTTTATTATGTGTATGTATTAGTGCAGGTGCCCTCAAAAACCCGATGTGTCAGTTCCCCAGGATCTGGAATTATAGGGACTTATGAGCAACCTGGATGCTAGGAGCCATACTCAGGCTCTCTGCTAGATCAATATAGTCTATTACCCACTGACCCACCCCTCTGGCCCACTCTGATTAATCTAGTTTAAAGCCATGGCTTGAAGTAATGTTTTCCTTAGCATAATTGTATACATAGCATTCTGTATCTCGTGTGACATATTTACAGTTGTTATAACATATCATAAACAATGTAAACATATCATTTGTGACCGTTCTAGTGAGAACCTGATACAGCACTCTGCACGCGGCCTACAACCTTTCCCATTATCCTGGGAACCCCGTGTACAGGGATCATCTTGTTCAGGTCACAGATGAGAAAACAGAAACTTGAAAGGCTAGGAAAGAAACATACATCTGGTCTGTTGGGGGCACCTAGGTTCCAGTCAAGCAGAATGAAGCCCAAGCCCATCTATCATTGGTGTCCCATCATGCCCGACACTTGTCAGGGCCACCCAGTGTGGCGCTATGTAGGGAAGGGTGGTCACTTACCTGGTGTTCTCTTAATAGCTGCCCACCACATTGTACCACCTTGCTCTTCCTGATTGAATCTCTGGCCTCTACCCTTTTCCTAATCCCCTCAGTCAGCCACACTCTCCCAAGATGGTGCTTCCGTGTGGTCAGAGTAGGGCTGTGTCCTCTGCTGAGGCTTCCTTGTAGGAGCTCCTTGCCTGGAGCCTCCCTTCGGCTAGGTAGAGGAACGTGCCTCTGTGTTCCCTGCATGTGGGCTCCTTCCCTCCACCACCCTCTTCTCAGTCAGCCGTGCTCCCCCGTGTACTTAGCCTCACTTGACACTATTGTCTACGTTCTTCATTTACTGTCTGATTTTCTTGCCAGAGTGGAAACTACTTGAGAACGAAGAGTCTGTGCTCTCTTGGCTAGAGCCAGGCTCCGTAAGTGTCCGTGCAAAAATAACCATGTAAAAATAACCTTCATGGAAGGTAAACATTTATTGAAATAGTTTCTGTGGAAAATGGTCAATTTTATGTGCGTAACAACCCATACAAGCTATCAAAGTTTTGTCTTTAAATCTCACTGCTTCCATGGCTTCCCCCTATTGTGTTGTAGAACTAAAACTCTATTCAGTCGTTCCTACCAGGAAGTTATCTCTATTTTAGAACCTCTTCTGCCTTTGGCTACCCACCTG